AAGGGTTAAAGTACCCTGCAAACTTTGGGGAAAGAAAACTGCCTCCAAGGCTCTGGGGTGAACCTCGGAGCTGAGCAGAGCCTCTGCCGCTGCAGCCATTCATTGAAACCGGCTCCTTTCTGGGCTACAAATATGTATTTTGAGCAGTACTGTCAGCAGAGAGCCCCCCCCCCCCCCCCCCCCCCCCAAACAAATCAGAGCTATGTCTTAACCTAAAATTACTGTAGTAAAGGACAAATGCCACTGGCATTCTGTACCTGCATGGACTGCAAAATCAGACCATTGCTCAACTCCTACCTCCAGAGCCTCACAGTGAACAGTTGCATCTGCTACTTTTTGAGACAGCTCTTTAAACTTCTGTTGTGTATATTCAAATGTCGCCCTACTGTCATTCTGCTGAGATTCGAAGAACTTTAACCTTTTGGTGAGTGATTTTATGATGTCATTTCTCTTGTTCAGCTCATCTGAAAAGAAGGGAGACAAAGAAAACAGCTCAGATACTGTCATGCAATTTTTTAGATCTCAAAAATAATTTAATCCAGTGTTTTAAAATCATGCAATTGAGATGGAAATATTCTGAAGCAGGGTTCCCCAGCCACCCAGATCAGATGGAGTACTACAGCTGTCAAACAAGCCTGTTCAAGAGCTGCCAGGTGATGAGCCGTGTGGCTTGTGGATGATGTCAAAGCTATGCAGCAGAACCTCAGGGCACAGGGCTCTGCAGTACACCAGCAGGTTTGCAAATTGTTCTCTTCCCCCACATGTATTCAGATATTTTTTTAAAGAGTCCACAGAAGCAACTCACATATTCAAAAGAGAGAGAGCTATCTGATTATCACATCCTCTTCAAGATCAGATCACTTTAGTACCATCACAGAAGTTTTCATCTCAGAAAGAATACGATTAACTTTAAGGCTGAAGGGCAGGAAATTTTTCCTTATATGATGAAAAACTTATCAAAGTGTTTAAGCACCTGAACATACTTAAGGTCTTATTCTTTACACACACAATACTTACTGTTTAATAAGTTGCATCGTTCTGCTAAAGTCAGTCTCTTTTGCCGATCATCTTCCCAGGCTAGAAGCTCTCTCTGATGCACTGCAACCATGTCATTGAGTTCCTTATCACGATCTTTCAGTTCCGCAATTAGAAACTGGAGTTCTTGCCTCTGTTTCTGAATGGTGCTGTTCTCAAGGCTTAGGCTAGGTTTCTGTAAAAGGTAACACACGGAACACATTTCAACATAGAAAGAAAAAAAGGCAACAAATTCTCCGATAATAAACTCAAGGTTTTAATTTAGGTTAAAATATTTTTATATTATCAACAGAGACCATTCGAAAAAGTTCCTCATGCTTGTGGTACCGCCTGTGGTCCCTGACTGAAACCGTCGGCGGTATGACGAGTACTTTCGTGTCAAAAACAGAGCACTCTGGTTGTTAGCTGCACTTTCATTTTTTACCTGGGGCGAAGCAGAACACGGCACCGATGAACTCATAGGGGACTGGGGACCAGAGCGCTACCAGGCATTAGTGGATACTGGTAAATATTTATGGCTGTAACCTTCCGCATGGAGCCTGCCTCTGATTTAAGCGCTACATGGTTACCCACCGAGACGGCTGCTGACCTGGCAACCCTGCAGGAACGACAAACGCCAGCCATTGAGAACCCACCGAGGTTCAGCCCTGTGGCCTCCCCACGGCCGCTGAGGCCCCAGGAGGGCCCTGACGTGCCACCAGCTCGGGCGAGCGACCCCCTGATGCCCGGTGCCCTCCCGAACGTCGGGGCCGCCACCCTCGCCTCAAGGACCTTCCCCTCACGTCAGGGCCTCTGCCTCAGGGGCCTTCCCCTCACATCGGGGCCTCCGCCTCAGGGGCCTTCCCCTCAGGTCGGGGCCTCTGCCTCAGGGGCCTTCCCCCTCACGTCGGGGTCTCCACCCCCGCCTCAGGGGCCTATTCCCCCACCTCAGCCCCGCCGCCCGCGCCTCAGGAGTCTTCCACTCCCCTTGGGGCCGCCTTCCACCCTTCAGGGGCCTTCCCTCCCCAAGCCCCGCCACCCCTGACCCCCGCAAGGGCCTTCCCTGCCCCGCCCGTTGCTCCGCGCCCCCCGCCAAACCCACCGGCGCCCTCGCCCTGACGTCACGGCGGCGCCCCGCCCCCGTCAGCCGTTGAGTTGCCGCCTCGGGCGGCCGTTGGGCAGAAGCTCCGCCCCTCCCCTCAGCGGCGGGGCCGCAGGTTCGAGTCCCGCGCCCGCCTCAGGCCGCGCTCCGCCGGCTGGGCTTGGAGCTGCCTGGAAAAAGGTGATAATTAATTACGATGTTAAGAGGAAGCGAGTAAAGAACCCGACTGGATGTTAGAGAGTGGTGGTAACTGCCCTGCTCAGCTTTTAAATGGAACAGTTACAGCAATATACGGGTATCTCATGAGATACACCACTGTCAACAAAAGCCATCAGCTTATAAACAAAAATCACAGAAAAAAATAGAACTGTACCGCCAGGGGACAGGCTGTACAGCATGTCACCCCCTTGGGTTTGACCTCTTCAGGTTTTACAGAACCAGGGGAACGTCAGTTCCAGGCCTCTGCCGCCAGGGAGCATTTAGCTTTATTAAATGGATTTGTGAAACCCGAGGCAGGGAATCAATGGCCGAGGCTGTTTGCAGGGGGACGAGAGCATCACGGGCACCCAGACATCAGCACGGCTTGTGGAAATAAACAGTGGCCACTATAAAGTTAATTACTACCACTCTTGAACCAGCAGCATGCTAAAAGCATGAAGCCACTAAAATTACCTCACCTACAAGACCAGCAGGATTACGAGTTCGTTTGAAATTACGAGACCAGGTTAAACATTTCACACCGATTGCTCGGTTTTTCCACTTATTAAAATAAAATAGTTCAACCTACAACAATCATCTAAGCCAACTGTCTGACAAGATGCATTTTCCTTTAATTGCTAGCAAACCTTTAGAATGTTTGTCCCATTTTGATTTCTAAGATATTTCGCAGGTAAAGGAGAGATTCAGTTCGAGTTTCTGTACATTGGCCACGTGACTTACTCAAGTTCAGCAGACAGGACAGCAAATGAAAAATCAGCTTTTAATGACTTAAATTACTGTTTTCCTGTAAGAACGTTAGAAGAAAGTAGCTGTAAAGAAAACAGAAACTGTATTCAGTGAGAACAGTAATTTTATTTAAATCTACTTCATGCGTAAGCATGATAGAACCCCAATTTAACTTTGGCAAATATCACAACAAAAAAAAAAAACAAACAAGCAGCCTATACAGAACAGTGAAAATGCCAAGGATATGGGTTCTCCACAGTTTCACTGCAGAGCAAATGGATTGAGAAGCCCCACTTTGGCTACATCATTTATAACCATATAATTAAATAAAGGTAGTCTTTCACTATCACTTCTTGACTTCTCCGAGATCTTCAATGCTATCATCATCCACCTAGGGGAAAAAAAATGCCAAAAGAGAGCATATTAAGTATATTTTCTTCTTAAATGTCTCAATATTCACCACTGTAATGTAATGAAGTGTGGGAGAAGTATACAGCACCATCTGAAACTCCCTGCTGTAAATTCTAGGAAACCAACACGTGCCCATAGGACAGAGCTGAGTCTCTGGGACTCTGAACAAAGACCAGCTGACAAAAATCAGGGTTCTCTCAGAAAGAACTACAGCCAGGAAACACCAGAAAAAAGGAGAGCCAAAGAAAGCACTTGCGATGACAGCAGCACAACCAAACCTCTCAACAGTCAACATTTCAGGCCAACCTCAAATTAGCTAATCTCTTTTTCTGAAGCACAAGTATGTGCGGGTTTAGTTTTTGATTGGCTTTTGGGTTTTTTTGTTTTGGTTTAGTTTTTTGTTGCTGGTGGTGGTTTTTTAATTTTGCAATATTTTAAGAGATTTTGAAAAATAGAATGGCAATGTGAGAATACTCAGGCATTCACCCTTAAAAAAGGGTCACAAAGAAGCCATGGATATTTGAGATAGTGACTTCCACCAACATGCCTTCCTCACCAATGTATCTACAGTAACAGCACTACGTGTTTAGGGAGTTCATGTTTCCTGGATAATGGAAGCAACATTTGTCTTCAAGTTTAATCACTCCTTCACCTCGTCATTCATAGGTGGGAATGCAACGACTGGTCCTTTATTTTTGTGTAAGGATCTGTGTTGTCAAGGATGAAACCATTTTTCAGAATGGCTGTGGAAAACTCGAGTTCTGACAGAAAGGGTTTATTACCTCAGGCCATTTCTCCTGGATTACATCAATAATGTCATCTGTAAAGTCCCCCTGAATGATGATTTCATCTTCTCCCGTTACTGAGGCACCGCAGGAAAATTTCTGAGCAAAAAACCTTTGTGCTTCCTTAAGATCAATTTCTGTTGATGGAAAAATGGACAGTTTAAGTACAGTCATTTGATACAAGCATTTTTTCGAGTTTAAAACCAAAATCTTGTTTTAACTGTTGAAAAACTAGTGGCCGTTTACAGTTAAAGATTTGCAACAATTTCCATTGGAAGCATCATCACGAGGTTAAAGGCAAGAACATCTAAACCCAACAAAACCCACCTAACAAAACTCAACTCACCAAACGTTGCAAGGCCACACACTCTTGTGACATATTTTTTCTTTGCTCTAGGAATTTTAGCTATTGTAACTTTTTGTGGTACAGTCTTCTTTTTCTGTTTTATCTGACCTCTTCCACCTTTAAAACACAGTATAAGGTTATATAATTAGTTAAATGACAACACATTTAATCAAGGAAAAAAAACATACAAGGTCAGATTTCATCCCTATAAACAAAGAAATTGTTATCTCCCAATCAGTGTTGGTAAACAAAAATATATTTTGCACATTGAATGTCTCACATTTGGGTTTTTTTCATTATTTAAGAAAGGTCCCATATCAAAGCTCAATATTACAATAAATAACAATATAAATTACAATATATTCATGTCAAATGTGCACTAAAGTACAGCATGCAGAGCAGAACCCCATTCCAATTACCAAAAAAAGGGGTTTTCCGGACACTTTACTAATCGCTGCATTCGCTCTACGTTTAACCACTCTTTCAGGAATTGTTCTTTGGTTGTAATCCTAGGAATAAACTGTTACTTTAATGTTGTTCATGAGTTTAATGTCCTTTGGGTTTGTGTCTGAGGCAAAGCAAGTTACTCAAGTCCACACACTGAGGCCTTGATGACATGCCTACTATGGCTGCTGGCAGATTAAGTTCTAGATACTGGTGCTCGACCCCAGTATGAACTGTATTCCTATATGTGAGCAGCAGAAGACACCACACCTCTGAAACAGAAGTCAGCTACAGTAGCTCTGCCAAACTTCCACATGATTTAACATCTTTCTTACTGTCTCTAGGCCAACCTGTGGGAATACGTCGCATATCAGGCATTTATTAGTCTGAATAAAGCATGCAAAAGATACATTCCGCTCATTAGGATTCTTCAAGTCAGATTAAGATCTTGGGTAACTTTGTACACAGTCATCAAGTTACTCCAGGGTAACCAGTTTCATGTTCTCGAGCTTTCTCAGCATGAAAACCTAAAGAATTTATAACGAACTCACTCACCCTTTGTGACTACTTCTTTTTCTAACATGCAGCGCTTTCAATTCTGCATTACTCTAAATTGATATCTGATAATCTAAGCAAATTTCTGTCTTAAAAAGTCTTCAGTAAATTTCTGCAGTGCCTTAGTAAGTTCTTGCTTCTTTTTCCTCACCCTCTTTTTTACGGTCAATCTTACAACATCATACTTAAGACCATGCCATAAGTTTTCATGAAACTTTAGATTCTGTGAGAAAATCCCTAAGTATTTTAAACAGTATTATTTTAGAACCAAAAAACCCGACTGAAAACTAACAGTACCAACCCCACACAATAAGTAAATGTTGAAAGAAAATGTCCTGAAGTCTCTAGGAAAAGCATCCAAGCTACAGGACGTAAGTTACTGTTGTCACTACACACAGCCTACTGACAAGGTAAACAGAACTAGTTACCAAGACACAAAAATATAACATCTGCAGGGACATGCGACTTAAAATCTGAATCTTACTGGGCTATTAATCAAAATTTCTGAAGCACTAGAGACACAACTGACACAGGCAAATGCATATTAACAACCCCAGCATTCTGATTTATGATGGAAAATATGTTAATTGAACAGAAAGAACCCCAGTGATAGAAGATAAAAGCGTGCTTAAATTGTTTCACATATTTTCTATCTTCCGAAGTTGTTTTTTAAAAATGTTTTTCATTGATATTGCTTGGAAGAGACATAGCCATTAACGGAGACATAAATGATGGTGTTAAAAGCGTAAACCCAAATCCTGTTACATGAATACAGAGGAAGGGTGGAAAGAAAAAAAGGCAAAAGCAGTGGCATGAGGCATTAATAGAGGAAAGCAGTCTTTGTTCTACTCTGCAAGCAACCTACAAACTGCTTGGTTGTTTGGTTGGCAGGTTAAACAGGGCAGAAACAAGTATTCCGGGAGACATGCCAGGTGATTTTAGGTTGAGAAGAATTACTCCCTGAATAAGTGCAACAGGGACTTACTCAGGGACTCCCTGAATAAGTGCAGCAATGACAGGAACAATGAGATGCACAAAGCAGGTCACCTTCCACTTGCTATTACTACTATCCAATTCTTCCATCGGTATGTATCACCGTGCTAACTCTGCTACTACTGGAAGACAGACATTTGGTATCTTTTGTGCAGAGTCAAAGCATAGCTAACAACCAAAACGCAAGGAATCCGTGCCATGGTCTAGACCAGCAAGTGAGAAAGGGATGCCCCAAACTGCTTATAAATGAGTACCGCAATCAACTATTTAGACCTTGCCTCTCTTTTGCTTCTTCTTCTCTTCTTCTTCTCCCCCCGCATTTCCTTGGGCTTCACCAACCCCAGGTTCCTGTTTAGGTGAATTTTCTTAAATACATCAGAAGGGAGTGGGGAGAAAAAAAAAGAGAACAAAATTAGTGGTCAGACAACCCCAGCCTTACAGGAATAGGAAGTAAGGTACAGGGATATTTTGCTAGATCTGTAAACTCTTTGCTTAAGTGCAGCAGCCCCTTGACTGATGCGTTGTTACACCTTCACTGCAGTACTTATGCAAATTAGACTTCAGAAGAGCTTTAGCTCAAAGATATAGTTACAATTTCAATAGTCTTTTCACATAATTGCCACAAACAGACAGAAATTAATGACAGTGTTAATACTGAAATTCCAAATGCAAATCAACAAGTCCCCTTTTATTAGTGACCTTTCTTCCAGCCACCCACAGTACAGACATAAAATCCAAATAAGGGAAACGAGTGCGTGGATGAATGGTTACAGCAGGAACCTTAAGAAGGCTCAAACATCATTACTGAAACTACATATTGTTTATTCAGTGTTTTCTGATATTATCAAAAGTATTTTCACAGAATCCAGAAGCATGACAGACTCCTAAGAAAATTATTAACTCTCACACTCAATACAGCAGGAAAAGGGAACAGATGAGAATTGGACAAGCTCAAAGATTTCTGAATATGTCTAAGGGCAAATAGAAAAGATTCTTACCTACTGTGAGTTTTGCAAACTCATCTGGAAAATTCTTTTCTAACCATTGTCTGCATTTTGTCACATCAGGCATGTATTCGCAGTACTAGAGAAGAAAGGTGATATGAATGTTGTGAGCAGAGTAATTACAAAATACGTCACAAACAAATACACCAAGATATATTTGCAATTCAGCTCAGTCATTTCTCCTTAAAATGACTGAATACAAATACTATACTAGAGCATAAGAAACCTCGTGTCATCCTAAATGAAGCACAGAACTTCCACAATTAAGAAAAGCCAGAAAAGATCAGAGAGAACCATCATAGTCAGAAAACATAGTCCAGAACTGAATACAAATACTATACTAGAGCATAAGAAACCTCGTGTCATCCTAAATGAAGCACAGAACTTCCACAATTAAGAAAAGCCAGAAAAGATCAGAGAGAACCATCATAGTCAGAAAACATAGTCCAGAAAGATGAAACTCAAGGCAACAAAAAAAAAATTAACTTACCTCTGTTGGCAACGAACAGACTGGAGAAAGAAGGGAGGGAAGAAAAAAAAAATTACAAAAAGAAGTTTTCCACTTACAGCCTTAGTGTTAAATTCACAATGTTTTTTTTTTTTTAGAGTTAGAGATGACTTCTTATGTCCTAACTTCTGGTTAATGCCACACACTGACTCAAAAAAAAAAAAACAAAAACTTTATTGATACCACTCCCCATTTTAATTTTTCTCTCATTAGTCATTTGCTCACACGCTCTGCGTTAGGATAAAACTATCACAGCAAGAGCAGTCAGTCAATGAAGGAAGGGAAGGAGATGCCTACAGCTCTGGGAAGTTACAGAAAGAAATGCCAGTTCTACCTGAGGCAAAAGATACACCTAATATATTACCACGTGTTTTGGTTAGTTTGCCTTTTCCCAAGAGCTGCCAATGTCCAGAAGAGGGGCTCAGCCCCAGAATGAACCCAAACCAATCGTGCAGATTTTCACGCACAACAGGGATTATCTCCTAATCCCCTGCAACCGTATTCAAGCCCAAAGCAAAATAACATATCTATCTAAAAAACATACCTGTCAAGATTATTTACTTCCCTTTATATTTCATCTGCATAACAACAAATGTAGTAATTCTAAACACAGTGCAACAATTACTTCCACGGATTCTGACTTTATTTCTTATTGTCATACTAATGCTCAGAGGCCTTTTCTCTGTTAAAGGCTTTACTGGTTTTCTACAGAAAGAGCTCTGCTCAAAAATTCAGTCTGAGCACCACTCCCACTTCTTTTACACACAAAAAGCTGTTAGTACCTCCAGCTCTCAGAGGGAAGACCCCTACGTTTCACCAAAAACGCTTCAGACGAAATACACAACACAAGCTATTTCAGAAAGACAATCAGAAAGGCCAAGCTGACCAAGGCCTAGCTTCACAATTAAAGCTAATCAAGAGAAAAATCTCTGATCTCTCATTCTTTCTGCTCGGCTGCCCTCACAAACAGCGCATTGTAAGAATCGTGGACAACCGCCCCTTCAGCACTTGCCTCCGCAGTAGAGAACCCGAAGAGGATAGTCAGCATCTGACCTGGCACCGCTCCTTACGTCTCCTCTGCAGTCAGGGACCACAGGCTCAGCTACATCGGTGGCCATGTCACAAGCCTGGAGGTCACAGAATGAAAGAATCAGGACCTAAGTTCTGGGTTAAAGTTATTCACATCTTTCTCAACTCAACAAGAATCCCAGAGAATGACGAATCTCAGAAAAAAAACAGGTACAATTGTAAGAAGAACAAGAGAGATCAGGGAGGGAAAAAATAGGACTCAATAAATAATAAAAAAATATGAGGAAAATGGCTGAAAAAGATACAAAGCAGTATGGAATTCCAGCACGTAGGGAGAAAAAAGGAATTTGAAGTGCCACAAATACAATGTAAAATAAAGATCTGTGAGAACAACACATGGAATTACAGAACATACCAGGTTAAGCAAAATGCTAAGTATCATGTTAAATCAGTGGCCTATTAACAGTAGGTGGGGAGAGGTAGAGACAATACACTAGCAAAGAAAAGGAGACACTTAAAACAGGGTCTGAAGAGCTACAACCCCAAACACCACAAGATAAGCGAGCCAAACTCCGCCCACTAATACAATTAGGAATGGTTTACACGCACGGATTTTAAGACAAGGGGCTTAAAAAAATATGAGTCAACAGGGAAGGCGTTTGCGATGCATAAGAAGTCCCCCAGGCCCACAGGAGCTGGCAGGATTTGTGTGTGGAAGCCTCAGAGCCAGGATGCTGTAGGAGCTGTGCCTGGGGAGTGCAGAGAGCTGAGGGAAAATGCCACCACCAGAGACGGTGGGGTTCGGGACAGGGACGGCAGGGAAAGGCGGAAGAGGGTCACGGTGAAGGGAAAGATGCTGGAGTGTCCGTGGAGATCCCAAACGGGGGAGGGAAGGCGCTGGAGAGCAGGGGGTAAAGGTGAGGGCAGGTCGGGGGGCAGGAGA